TACCCCCACGGCGACTTCGACCTCGCCCGCTGCCCCACCATGATGCAGTCCGTCGAGGAGATGGTGGCATTCCTCGAGTATGAGAAGCTCCTCAGCAGCGAGGCCGTCATCCGAATGGATACGGCGTGGGCACAGCGGCACGGCAAGGACGCCCAGGTGGAGATCGACACGCAGGTGGATGTCTTCTGCCAGTCGTATGGGACAGGGGTCGTGTCGCTGCTGCATCGGCGGTTCCCGGGGCTCATCAGGAGGGCCCTCTTATTCGATCCCATCTGCTTCATCCCCCAGCTACCCAAGAAGGTATGGGACACATCAGCGTGGTCTCTTTCTGGCTGCCTTGTTGATTGTTGTCTTGTTTCTTGCAGGCCCAGCTGATGCAGCTGACCCCACTACAGGTGCACAGCGAGGTGCCACTACCGCCTGCCATCCTCCCCGCCCGCTCCCTCCCCTGCATCCAGCCCATCAAGCGCCACCTCGTCGATGCTGACGCCATGTCGACCGACGCCTCCTGCGGATACGACAGCGACACCTCACCCTACCACTCGTCCGTCACATCCTCGCCCCAGAGCACACACCTCCAGCCGCCCGACCCTGCCGGGCTGCGCCAGCGCAGCAACCGCAGACACACGATCGCCTCCGAGCACAATGCCAGCACGCCCAACTTGTGCGGGCTTGTGGCGGATGGGCTCAACGCGGAGATGGGCGTGAGCCGCAGGTGTCAGCGGAGAGCATGGAAGCGGCTGAGGGCCATGGGGGAGAAGGCGAATACGCTCTTCGGGGAAAGGTGAGAGGCGGGGACAACATTTGAAATGGCATTGATAGGAGAAGTGGCCGGTGTGGTTTGGGTGGTAGTCCTCGGTGTGTTGTGTGTTGGTGGATGTTGTTGTTCATCATTTGTGTATTCAGGTTTCAGCTGTGGATGATGTGGCTGGTCGCTTACAAGGAGTTCGGGACCATCTGGACGGCGGGCAGGCAGCTCCAAGGTGACGGAGGGAGGGACGGAGGGAGGGAGGGAGGCGAGCGTGATATATGCAGATCAGACAAGACAGACAGCATACCCATCCCCTCGGTGTGTGTGTGTGTGTGTGTGTGTGCAGGGTGCGAGTACATCGATAGGGGCGACCTCTTCCGCCTGAAAGAGAACCTCATGGTCCGTCCGACACATCACATCCACGCACTCGCTCCGTCTGCGTGTCATGCGTGTGTGCGTGTGTGTGTGTCTGTGTCCGTGTGGTGTGTGCAGGTAGTGTTGGCTGGTGAGGACGGGCTGCTCGCCTCCCAGGCCATCCAGGGCTTCATCAAGAGTCAGGAGGAGGCCGTCCAGCTGCTCGTCGTGCCAGAGTGAGCACATGAGCACGCCACGCCACACGATAGCAGCTCTCACCTCCCTCCCTCTCTGTTGTTCTGCCTGTGTGTGTGTCAGTGCTTGGCACGGCTTCCAGCTGTATTTCGAGGAAGGGCTGGAGGCGACGCTTCGTTTCCTGACGCACGAGAACGACTTACTGGCTGAGCCGCTTTGACCGACACAGCGCTGCCGGCCCGCCATGTGTGAGTGCTGAGTGGAACATGGTAGGTAGGTGTTTCCCGCACGGTGTTTCGTCCCATGTGTGTGTGTGTGGCTGGATGAGTGTGTGTGAGCGGGGAAAAGAGAGAGGAAGTGTGCGTTCGTGTTGGACCACTAGTGCGTGCGTGTGTCAGAGGCGGGCAGTCAGTTGATTGATTTGTCATCTGTCCACCTGCATCATCGCATGGATCGGGTTCCTCATGCATCCGACGTGCTCTCGCCCTCCCGGCTTCATGCCTGTCTGCCTGCCTGGCTGCCTGTAAGGTGCACTCGTTGCATTTAACTGAGAGGGAGCTGAGCAGAAAGGGCACACAGACGGTGGGTTAAGGCCATCGGGCTGCTGCCTCGCGTGCTTCATCTATGTTTTTTTGTCTATTCCATTGAGCGAGCAAATAGGTTTTCCAGACGGATGGGAGGTGGGTGGATTGATGTCAGTGAGGAGGCAAGCCGCAGTCAGCCGGGAGATGGGGAGGCGGGGAGGGTATTTTGTTGTGTATGGTACGTCTGCACTCTCTGTCTGCTATTGTGTTGTTGTGTTGTGCTGCGTTGTGGTGTGTGGTGTCTCTGTGTGGGTACATTTGTATGTGTATAGCTACATGTGTACATGTCATGTGTGTGTCATCCGTCCATCGCATCCATCCATCCATCCATCCATGTGGTATATTGTTCACCCACCCCACCAGCCATCCACTGGATACGCAGCCTAATGAAATGAAGGAATGAATGGGTCGACCGATCGATCGACATCGCTCGATAGATATCTGTACTTACGTAACATAGCATACACGTGTGCATGTATACCCATTGATTGCCAGACAGAATTCCCTGCGTATATATGCGTGTACACGTGTGTGTGGATGTGTGTGTTTCTTTGTTGATCTCTGTCTGTCTGTCTGTCTGTCTGTCGCCTGTTGGTCTGAGACATGTCGAGCGTGTCTGAGCGTGTCGCTTTGTGTGCACGGCTGGGCGGGAGGGAGGGAGGGGCTGCGTGTGTGTGTGTGTGTGTGTGTGTATATAGCATATAGCCAGCTACAGCTAGTGAGATGCCTATCATGACTGGCTGCCAATATATGGCACCACATCTGTATGTCGGCCTTTCCACACATAGCTCTCAAGCTCGTTGTATGCGTAATACACACCGCGTTGGTGCCTTCAAATGTATATGCATGCCTCTGTTGGTGTGGGTGGTGTGGGGCTGCAGGTGTCAGCTGACTGGTCGGTCAATCACACCACCGACGTGTCTGTGTGTGCGTGCCGTTTTGTGCATTCGTGTGTCACTGAGATGGGGGATGGAGTTGTCCTGCCTGCACGGATGGGACGCACGTTTTCCTACGTCATGCAGACATACATACTCACATTCAGCCATTCAACCAACACGGTCCTGAAACACCTCATGACAAACAGTCAGAGAGTAGACAAAAGGGCCGGTTTCAGCACATGCGCGGCGTCTGCCTGGCGAGAGTCCTCTCTTGGTGTCGGGCCTCTGTAAAGGCAAACCGCTTCCTGCAGACAGACAGACAGACAAACAGACACCAGCCAGCACCAGTAACCGCAACTTGAATGCCGAGATCGTCGAGATGCTAGCTGACCCCCGAACGCCCCCAGTCTTTTTCCTCCTTTGGCGTATGGACTATCGTAGCCGCAGTCAGCGCGAGAGCTACCCCGCATACGAGCCCTCATTCATCGAGTACATGACCCCCTTCAACCATTTCCCCCCTCTGCTGCCCGACTCCCCGGCGCATCAGGAGCTCACCGAGCTGGGCGTCCGCCTGCCCCTTGTCAAGGCCGGTGAGTACATGATGCAACAATATCGGCCGCGTGACATGGCGGAATGGAGGGGCAGAGGGGGGCGAGGCAATGTCAAAGGGGCTTACTACAGTGGGGGTGGCTATGGGGATGGTCAGCAGCCGTCGTCTTATGGGTTCGGGGAGGAGGAGAAGGGGAGGGATCCGCAATTGCCGCCATGGCTGTCGGGAGAGAGGAGGGGGGAGAGGAAAGAGCCGCTGATAGGGAATGTCGACGTCAGGACAGATAAGGCTTCACAGCTAGAGGTAGGCGGGATGGGATGCATGGGGAGAGAAGAACCCACACTGGCATGCACTCCCCGTGTGTGTCATGGTCTGTCCTTCAGGATGAGTGTCGTATGTTGCGGAGCCGCATCCGCGTCCTCGAGAGGACCTGTGAGGAGCAAGAGCGGGAGCTGCAGTACTTCCACGCCCACTTCCTTCCTGCCACGGGGCCTCTCCCGCCCCCTCAGCAGCCCCCCCAGTACATCAGTCCCTCATCGCCTCAGACCACTGACGAGACAGTGCCCTCAGTCACCGACAAGCAGCAGCACCAGCAACAGGGGGCTGTGCACGAGAGCAAGACGACATCGAAGGGGCAGGAGTCCCCTCCCCTATCCATGACGGAGGAGTTGCGTCGTGACAAGCGTGAGAGGGCGTCGTCGGTTGTGGGCAAGAAGGAGAGCACTGCCAGTGCTGTCCACGCGAGCAAGAAGAGAGAGGCCGATGCCCCAGCGGAGAAGAGGAAACCATCCATGGCCAAGAGCAGAGACACGAAAGACAAGGCGGAGGACAAGAGAGAGAAGGAGAGGAGTCTCCCGGCCACCAAGGGCAAGAAGGAGCCGCCGAGGAAACAGAGCGTCAAGGCAGCCAAACAATCTCGGTCTGGTACCAAGACGGGCGAGTCTGTCCGGTCGGCCGTCATTCTGCCTCCACTCGCCGAAGAGAGCACGCCAAAAGCCGAGGATGCGTCAAGCAAGCCGGCGGTTGTCCGCGAGAATCCCTCGCAGCCTCGCGTGCCGACCTTTAGTGACCACAATCCGGCGCAGTCGAGCGTCTTCCCTGCGGTGTCGAGACAAGCATCACTTCCCGTCAGCCAGCAATACCCACATCCACATCAGCAACAGCAGAGACCATTCTTTCCCCAATATGCGCCCCTGCAGCAGCAGGCCTCGATGCATCCATTTGCCAGCCAGGCTGGGATGCAAGGCACTCAGGGGGGCTATCAGCATCCCGGGCAGCAGGCGTACCACCCATACATGGACGGCAGAGGGAAGGTGGTCAGTGAGGCCGGGTCCCACCTTGTGTATGGGATGCCATCGGTGATGCCGTCGGTGGGGATGGCGAACACACCGTTCATGTCGGCTGCGTCGCAGCAGCCGTATCAACAGCCGTATCAACAGCCGTATCAACCAGGTCCGAGAGACAGACAGACGAGATACACGAGAGAGACACCGCACTTTTTCATCTCACGTCTCGCATGGCTTCAGGTTATCCGATGATGAATGCCCCGATGATGACCACCCAGCGGCCCCCTCAGCCCACGACGCCCTTCTTCCCCGCGCCAACACCACAGCCCCCGCCCCAACCGCCATCCTCATACCAGCCACCAGGCTCGCCCCGCAAGGGCTCCAGGCGGATGAGCGCCAAGACACAGCAGCCACAGCAGAGCCACCTGCAGGGGGGCAAGAAGGAGCCGCAGAGCCTGACAGAGATAGAGGACGCCGAGCAGACCCTGGAGCGTGAGCTGCGTGAGCTCAACAGCCGGCTGACGAGTGTGCAGAAGAGGGAGAGGAGCGGCAAGAAAACGGAGGACGGGAAGGCCGCCAAGGGGAGGGGGCGGGACAGGGCCAGATAGGCAGACCGACGATGTGTGAGGGGAAGTGGAGCGTCCGTGTGTGTATCGCAGGAAGATGCCTGCAGGGTTGAGAGTGGTAGTGTATTTGCTGGACCCTTTGCTCTTGATCTGACTATGTGCATCCGTCTGTCTGTCCGCGCGTGTGTGTGTGTCTTCTCGTAGCCGATTGCTCTGTCTGTCACTTGTCATGCTGACCATGAATCGACCGACATCTGAAACACCATGTTGTACGTCTCAGCAGTTCATCCCCCCTCCACTGCTGCCGACCACGAGCACACGCAACGCACACAGGCAGAGAGACAGAAGACACATAAGACACCATGCGGGGAACATGCACACACAGACAATCCCTCCACGCATCACGCATCCCTTCCCGCAAAATCCTCACTGTGTTGCCCATCTTGCCCACACGTGTGACAGACACGAAGACACAAGTACAGAGCTGCGGACACACTCGGACAAATACAAACACTGACAGAAACAGACGAACGAGACGCCACGCCAACACACTCACGCCAATGGCATCGCGCACAGACACATAAGTACAGATGGATATGTACGGTACCGACTTTCTTTCTCTTGTTCGACTCAAAACTCTCCCTCCCTCCCTCCCTGCCTGCCTCCCTCCCACACCCTCAAGCCCCCCCC